CTCATATGCTGTCTCTTCGGAGCACGGTTCAGTCTGGTTAATGGTTCAAGCTCTGAGTGCTGGACTGACTGCCTGACTGCACTCCTCCTTAAGAGTCTCCATTGACTGAAGTGATACGGGAATGGGTGTGGAAATACAGGAAGTTAGAGTTATGCACATTTCTTGAAATTATTTGGTCTAAATGAGGCACAGTGTAAAGCTGAGAGGAAGGGCAAAAAAACCCCAGAAACGTTTGAGAGAAATAAAGAGCTGATGAGATTTGTAAATGTGACAGAGGAGGGTCATATGGTTTGATTAGATCAGATTTACTTTGTTTTAGAGTGATGGATGCATCAGAGTAAAAAGAGAAGGAGGTAAAGTGAAGCATCCACCATGCTTAGTGTTTACTGTACAAGCCTGTGATGCAGCATTATGATGTCGGATTGCTACAATTAGTCAGGTCTAGGCTCAGCATCAATGTGTGCACAAAGAATGAGGTCAACTGACTTCCTGAATTCACTGAATGAGGAAGTTATTCCATCAATGAATTATTTCTTCTTTGATGACAACCGCACGTCCCAAGATGACAGTGCCAGCATTAATGGGGCTGAAATTGTGAAAGATCTGTTCAGGAAGGATGACACATCATTTTCACACATAGATTGGCCACCAAAGAGTCCAGATCTTAACCCCATTGAGAATCTTTGTGAAGTGCTGGAGAAGCCTTTGAGAAGCAGTCAGACTCCACCATCATCAATCTGAGATCTTGGGGGGAAATGTATACCACACTGGTTGGAAATAAATAGTGTGACACTGCAGAAGAGTATCGAAACAATGCCACACCAAATGTATTATGTTCAGGAGCTGAACATCGTCAACTTCCTGTTTCAGGATGACCTTAGTGACAATGCTGAGGATGAAGCTGAGACACTTAAAAGATTCATGCTATAGAACACTACATACAATTAAACCCACCTCAAATTATTCTGGGTTCAGAAGCTCTTTTGCTTCACATGGTAGTGACTAAACTTGTCACTAAAATTAAAACAGAGGCCCCTACAAACAAAACTAGGGACACAAAGTTTACTTATATTATATTATGTCAAGTTGTTCAAGTGTTCCTTCTGAAAATAACATCAGACCCATCTTTTTAGCATGTTGTGTTTCTGGTACAGAATACAGTTCAGTAGAGTTCTGTTGGGTGTTATGTTCCTCTGTTGTTCTGTTCCTCTTATTATCCTGAACAGTTGCATTGTTGACATACTGCATCTCAGTACGGCTCCCTTCATATCAAACACAAGTAACTCCTGCAAAGGAAAGTGAGAGGAACCAAAAATGTCATAGGACAGTGTTTAACATAAAAAAACCTTTATGTTTCTATTTAGTCAGTCTTTTTTTTAATCTATTTTTAAAACCCATGATGGTCCGAGGGCTCTGTGGTGCCGGTGTACAGCAGCCTCCCTTCTGTAAGTGAAATTGTGTAAATCTAGTTTCAGTGTGTGCATTAATGCGTGAATGACTGGATGTCGTGTGAAGCACTTTGGTCAATTCTCCAGACTTATAAAACTGCTATACAAGTACAGACCATTTACAAAAACTTTCCCACTATTATTTCATGTTAAAATGTTAAGGATCTCTGTTGTCCTTTTGCTTTGTGCTTTTACCTTACAGTAAAATTACAGATAAGACACTTAAAGCAGATTTGCATCATCTAGTTGATGGTGCTACAGTATGTGTATCTTTGAACATGTAAAAAAAAAGGGAACATGCTTCATTTCAGGCCAGACAGTTCTGTTTTTTTTTGTTTTTTGTTTTTTTTTTCTTACTTTTAAAGCAAGGCCTTGTGTGGGGAGCTTGGTCATTCTGGAGCGGCTTGGAATAGCCAAGCCGCTTCTCCTAATTTAAAAGAGTCAGATGAAGTGGTTCCAACATCTTTTTCGGATGCCCCCTGGGTGGCACACTCGAGTGGTGTTCCAGGCATGTCCCACCAGAAGGAGGCCCAGGTGACAACCCAGGACACGCTGAAGGGACTATATCTGGGCTGTCCTGGGAGCGCCTTGGGCAGGTGTCTGCTCAAAGAGAAGTCTGGGTGACTCTGTTGAGACTGCTGCCCCCGCGACCCGATGAAGTAGAGACGACAAGTACGAGCACTTTTATGAACAATATAACGTCAGCAACAGGTTACTTCTGGATATTCTATCATAATGAGAGAAAATGTTACATAGTTTATTTTCATTTAAAAAGGCTATCAAAACCACATTTATTTTCACTTTCATAAAACAGTTGTGACACTTTAAGTACAATTCTTTTTTCTCAACAGTTTTTAACTTCAATGGGAAACAGACTGAAACTTACCTTAATACTCTGTTCTATTTTAATGTTTATTTTCTATTATTAGCGAACCACTGGAGTAAATAATAAGAAACAAAAGAGCATTGAGACTGTCACAGACTTGTATCCAAACTGTTTGCTCTTTCATTGCAAATGATGGTGATGGTACTTGAAGTGTGAAGAGCCTCTTCTCACTCCACATTTTCACATTCTAATTCTTCTTTTCTTCTAGATCACATGATGTCCTGTATCTTTCACTTCTCATTTTCGGTGAAACCCTGCTAAGAGAGATGAGAAAATAACTAAAACCTGATGTCCTGCCAAGTTCTTAGTCTATTTATATTGCTTTTTCTAATTACTTCTCTTTTAGTTGTTGACCTATGAACTACTCATTAATCAAACAGGTCAATAAACTCACAGGATCAGTGGGTAACAGACAACTTAGGAGAAGAAAGTGCTCTCTGGCTGTTTTTCCTGTAGATATATAAGATTAAGGTTTAATATATTCTCTTTTTTAATGTTTTTCTGACTGTAAGTATTTTTAAGGCTTTTTGTTGCAGCAGAGCCCAAATCCTTACTGAAATTTGATGGAGAATATGGAGGGAACAGAGGTGGGTAGTAACTAGTTACATTTTCTCAGTTGTAGTTACTTGAGTAACTTTTTGACAAAGATGTACTTTTAGGAGTAGTTGTACTGCTCCATACCTTTTACTTGAGTGATACTTTTACAAAAATATCACCACTCTTACTTGAGTAAAATGTTTGGTTACTCCATCCCGTGTTCATTATACATTCAATCTATAATGATGTTAAGGAAAGCTCTGTGTTTAAACCTTGAAGCTTTCTGTCTACGATTCTTTTCCTGAGAAGAGATCAATCGGGACAAACTCTTTAAATAATACTTCATAATGTCAGTGTTTTAAATAACCCTGAGACAGGGCAACAGATTTTGATTGGAATTGTAATCTTACTCAGATCAGAATCACAGTTAAAGAAGCATTTTATACAACTCCAGTATGCCACTGTCAAGTTGGGCGAAGGTTTGACAGGACCCAAATGCAGACACTGAAGCTGAAGGTGGTTTCTTGCTGATTTATTTATACAAAAGGCAACAGAAGCAAAGAATACATGAGAATACAGAAAAACCAGGAAAACTAACTAGAAGGGGATGAAATGACAACAAACCAGCAAACAACGGCTGAGCAGGAGGTGCATATATGGGAGAGAGAAGTAAAGACCAGGGTAGAGGAGTCTAGAAGGGAGCTAGGAAAAAGGAGACTGACACAGAAAACAGAGGGCAAACAAGAAATACCTAAGAATTAAAAATAGCTAGAATAAAACTAAATGGAAATAAAACAAAAGAAAACCCAAAGATAAAACTTAAACAGAACTGTAACCATGACAGCCACATCAACACATAATCCACGTGTGTAAATGAGGAGACCTGCATGGCTCTACCCTTATCAAAAATATTACACCATGTTTTTAGATCAAGGTCTCGGCTCTCATTCCATCCCAAATCTTTGCCGCGTACAGAATGAAGATGACTTTTTATCCTGACAGAGGAACTGTCCTGATTGGATAAACTACTTGGGAAAACGTTAGTTCTGACTCACATCAGACAGGTATTATCACACATCATAATCCTAGCTTTTTTTCTTTTTGTTTTTTTTTTTTCCCAGAACAACATTAGTTTTCTTTTTTTTTGTACACAGGCTTAGTCAAACCTACCCTGACATTTGGAGGTGATGATAATATACAATAAGGAGTAAATATCATCACTGGATGTACTGGTTTCAAAAGTTTTATTTTAAAATAAATTTGGTTTGGAAATGTTTTTCCTCTGTCTGGAAATTTTACTTTTTAATTAATTTGCTTGTTTTATTAAATTATTTTAAATGTCAGATATAATAATTAGTGATGCAGTACTAGAGAACCATTATTACCAAATACTTTTTTGCTCTTGAATAGAACTATGATCAATATCAATAGTACTTTTCTTAATAGAGTGATTTTTGAGTATTCTTTTTTTTTTTTTTTTACAGTGTCCTGTCTGGCAAGGTGGCAATAAGAATAATTGTCTTGATGCCAAAAGGAGCCCAACAGATTTTACTTTCACAAGTGTAGCGGTATGGCAATTGCCATACTGCTCCACTTGGTTCATGCATATAAATTGCTTTATTATAATTATGCAGGGAGTTTTACAGTTCATATGGACACTGCAATGTAAGTAGAGCAGAAAAACAGAAGAAGAAAAAGGAAAAAGAAAAAAAAAGGACAAAAGATGAAAGAAAGAGGAGATAGGAAGGAGACAATGACAAAACATTTTCAGTCTGCTTCATCACCTGTAACGAGATGAAAAAAAGAACAGCACAACCAAAAGACTTTTGAGTATTCTACCTCTGGATAAGGGTGTTGTTTTTTTTTTTTTTTTTATCAAAACCTTACTTTAAAAAATAAAAATAAAATAAAATGAGCCCACTTGCAAAGAAAATAAGATTTTTTTTTTTTTCATTAACATTATGCTTAAATTATTAATAGGCTTAAATGATCCCTAATATAATATTTTAGATATAAATATAATTATAAACACAAATAAAATATATATTAATTTACTATGGTAGTATTTATAGTAAAAAACAAAAAAAATTTTCCGGTGTGGGCGGGGTTTACCCCTCACGATGGGTGGAGTTTCTGTCACGTGACCAGACAGCGTCCAGTTGGGTAATCATGGCGGCTGTGTCTGGATGTGAGCAGCAGATGTAACGTTTTTCACCGTATAAAATGTTGTTTGATTCTCTGCCCGGGCCATGAACCGGACGCCGGTGAGCAGAGGGACCGCAGCCCCGCATGGAGGCGTGAGGAAGAGGAGGACAGACGCCATGGATCAGGATGGCTCTGCTGGATGCTCGGACGCTCTGATTCCTGCTGACTGCTTTTGTCAACCAAGGCTCTAAATGGTATTTTTGATGTAGTTTATCATTTGCTGTGTTTTTTCATGCAGATCCTTGGCTAGATTAGGTCACCTTGTTCCATGTCCTGTTGCAGTGTGATCATGGCCAGTCTGAATGGACCCTCAGCTCTACTATGACTGTTAGTGCTTCTGCTGCTTCCCATGTCTCTCTCAGTAACAACACTATGATAGGCTCTCCAGATGTGGTAGCTTTCACTAAAGAGGATGAATATGGGCAGACCGTCCCAGAGACTTTGGATCTCCCAGAGGAGTTCTCCATACCCCTCCACCCTGTGGCTGACTCCAACCCCTGGGCCAAAACCTCCTACGCCAAGTTCACCAAAGACTTCATCCTCATCTCAGAGTTCTCGGAGCAGGTGGGCCCCCAGCCTCTCCTCACCATCCCAGATGATCCGAAAGTCTGCGGCACCTTCGATCTCAACTACTTCTCCCTGCGGATCATGTCGGTGGACTACCAGGCCTCCTTCGTGGGGCATCCGCCTGGCAGCGGATATCCCAGACTCAGCTTTGTGGAGGACTCCAGGGTTGTCCTTGGGGACTCAAAGGAGGGGGCTTTTGCCTACGTCCATCACTTCACGCTGTACGACCTGGAGGCCAGGGGCTTTGTGCGGCCCTTCTGCATGGCGTATGTAGCGGCAGATGAGAAGAAAATAATGCTCCAGTTTCAGGAGCTGTCTCTGCGTTTTTCACAGGCCTCTGAGTGTCTGAAGGCTGGGAACAGAAGAGCCTTCGCCAAGGAACTCCAGAGGAAGCTCCAGGACCTGGAGTAAGAGACTCTACATTTTACCTACTGTCTGCTCCTAACTTTCTTTAAGCCAATCTTCAAAGGTCTAAATCTGGTTTTAGATAAGGTCAGAGGTCCAGATCAGTTAGTGGTGTGGTGAGGGTCATTATAAGTCATCTCTGTAAGATAAGGGAAGGTCATCTCTGCCACCTCTTTGCAGTAATGATATCTTCCATCTGGAACCCCCATCTGCAACTTTTCTAACCTAAATTCTATATTTGTTTTTACAATTTTCAGTTTTTTTAAATGAATACCAACCTGGAAATAAAAAAAAAATGCCACCATATCTGCTTAATTATGTATCCTTCACTCTTTAGGTGTTTTAAATGTATTTATTCGGGCTGCAACTAACGATTACTTTGCAATTTGATTTTTTTTTTCCGATTTATCGAATAATAATCGAATAGACTAAGATTTTTGAAGACGTTTTACAAAATTTAAACAAGCGAAACAAACTATTCTGCTTGAGCAGTTCTGGATAGAGCATATTGTCAGATGAAAACGTTTTTTAATCTTAGGTGCAAAAATATTTATGTATTTTTTTTTACAATATTGGTATAATTACTGCTCTAAGTAGGTTGCTCTGTCAGCTATAGTCATGTTTTACAGTCTCAATACTCCAGTTAACAATGAGTCAATAACTAAATTAGTTGGTTGATTTCAAAAATCAATTAATCAGAATTTATCCTATTGTTTCAGCCCTAGTATTTGGTGAATGCAGGTAATGGTGACAAACAGGTCTGCTTAATGCTTCCTAGATTCAAATATTTCCTGAAATTTGCAAGTACGGTAGCTGAATTTAAATTCAATCTTCAATCTAAATGATTATTAGATTCAATCATAATTGGTCATTAAACCCTGTAACAATCTTTAAACAACGCTGGTTAAAAACAGTTTTACATTTTATGTTTATTTCTTATTTTCAAACCTAAAACGCTCTTCTCTGCACATTCAGCTACAAAAACTTCACCATAAACTCACCCTGCTCTGCTGAGGATCTGTTGCTAGCTTGGCTCCGTTTTGATTGGACTTGTTGATTTTGATTTTATTTTTTTCATTGATGAAAGATGGATTCAATTTACATCCTACAACAGAGAATTAAGGCCATCCTAAGAGATGTGTTTTTTTTTTTTTTTTTATTAAAATAAAATCATAATATTAGGTCTATTGAAAAAAAAAGAATATAACTCAATTAAAGTTGTAACACTAAAGAATTAAATTTGTAATATAACAAGAATAATGCCGTATTACAAGACTGAAGAGGTAGCCTACGTTATGTTAACAAGAAAGAGCAGCTTAGAAGGTAGATTACAGACAATGGAGTTCTTCATTATTGATTCAGAAAGGTTATTCTCCTGTTTAAAACATTCCTGGGTCAGAGGTCAATATGATCAAAGGAAAGGTTAAACCCCCCCCCAAAAAACAATGAGTAACTATGATAAGCAAATTTTATCTAATACAACTCCTAACCTCATAAGCCTGCAGGTAAGAGACTAACTGCTTATATTTTCTTTATAGACAGCCTCTGAGGAGTCAGATTATCTGCTGATATAGTAAACCCCCTAACAGAAAAATAAGTTTGATCAAATGAGGCTTGTTTGGAAAGATTGGAGAAAGTCCCACTTACCTTTAAAAAAAAAAAAAAGTATTGACAGCATTGCTTTACATTTAGTTTTAAACAAACCCCCAAAATCTGCTGAGTGAAACCAAAGTGTTCCAGTTTGATTATAATTACCCAAATGTAGGATATAAGCACATAAGGAAAGTGGTGCTGGAGGGGTCACAGGCTCTGTGTGTTGGGCTTGAATTGAGGCCACCAACCAAGTGTCAGATGTCAAGCTAAATATCTAACAGTAAAAGCACATTGGCACCTACAGCAACACAAACATGGAGAGTAGAAGAACCACACTGATGGTAGTTTTGTGATGCAGCGGCCGGGTATTTCTATCAGCCGTCTTCCCTGAAGACAGAAGAAATGTCAGAGAATGCCAGCAGCCATAACGATTCCTTGTTTTAGCTGCTGGCTTAGATAATACATTTGACTGGGTCCACATAGTGGATCTCACGGGGACCTTCAATATATATTTGAACTAGGAATGCACCGATCCGATATTTTTATCTGTATCGGTTCGGATATAAAGAAAAAAAACTAGTTCGATATCGGTGACAATTGACTCGATATATGGGCCGATCTATTTGTTCTAGCTCTATGCTATGCTTTGCCATCATGCGGCAGCGCAACAACACAATGCGGCCATATTGTTTATGATGGAGCTAGCATGTAATGGTGTACAGGCCAAAAAAATCAGATGGTACTTGATAATTATAATGACACTTTTCTTTACATGTTGACCAAACAGAGAACTTTTGGTTTAAGATTTTGTGCACAGTTTTTAAATAAATGAGTCATAACGTTTATATTCGGGTTGTTTCCTATTTTTTTTTAAGAAAAGGGAAATTAAATCATATGCACAGAAAAACATTTTTTAGGTGATAATTCATTGCTGTTTTTGGTATCTGTATCAGATCGGTATCGGCCAACATTAAACTTCAAATATCGGTATCGTATCGGAGGTGAAAAAAGTGGATCGGTGCGTCCCTAATTAGAACAGAACTCTCTTTTTTTAACAAAAAATTATTAACTTTCATACATAACCGTTGTGACACAAACTTAGCACCAAATCATTATTTTAGACTAGAAATACAAGGCATTCTCCTTTACGTCCAGTTTCAATGTGTTTCCCATAATTAAATAGTTTCTCTTGTCAAAATTGTTTGTTTTTTTTTCTTTAAATAACTTTAAGGTTAAGTAAGAAACGAAAAACTAATGTGAAATCATTATACTAGACTGGACAGATGATGCAGACTTTTTCAGTCTGATTTGAATTCATTTATCTTGACCGAGAAGCACTAAAATATCAGATGCAGTTACAAATTTGAACCTGTGTGGGATGTTTTTGTGTTTTTTAGGCATGATTTCAACTCATGTGCAATACATTTTCAAAATAAGGCCCGGGAGATATAGACAGCACTAAAAAACATCTACTTATGCAGTTTAGCAGCGAAGTAAACAAAAGGTTTTCAGCTGGGTGGTTCATCAAGACTCATTTCATTTCCTATAGAGTAAAATATACCAGGCTTTAAATTGGGTTCATTAGAAAAATAGGATTTCACATAAGATTTATACAAAAGGATAATTTAAACCAGGATGTGTAATGGGCTTCAGATTAGGGATTACGTACACTAACACCTCGGTTATTAAGCAGGTTTTGGTACCTTTGACAGATCTTTTATAAATCTTAATTGCACAGAATATTTTTGTGATTTAAGTAGATGGGTTCAATCTTGCTAAAACCTCTGAAATTCTATAATGTTTATGATGATTTAAAGTATTTAAAATATGAAAGTATGAAAAAAAAAAAAAAAAACAACAAAGGATACTTTGAGAGCAGCTGAATTAGACGTCTCTCTGAATCTGTGTTGTTCTGCTCAGGTACACACACTCTGTGCTGCAGCGGGAGGAGGGCCTGCAGAGAGAGGCGGGGCCACAGTGCGTTTACTCCGCCCACACTGTGGAGAAGGCCAATGAGCTCGCCAACGTAGAGAAGAGCATTTACGAACACAGGGACCTGCTGAAGCAGATCAGCGCCTACCATCGCCGCCCACGCCGGGATCCGCATGCCGTCTCGTGCCAGAAGTGTATGAGCGAGTGTTTGAGGGAGTGTGAGGAGCTGTTGGACAAATATGCCAAGCTAGCTAATCCCCTCGGTTACAGGGGAAGCGGGCGAGGTCCGTCTGTTGATGGCCGAGGGGAAGAAGGGGCGGATGAATTGGACGATGAGGTGATTAAACGCAGGCCATCGTACACGCCGCAGCTCATTAAAGCAAAGTCTGCCAAGTGTTTTGACAAACGCCTCAAGACCTTGCAAGAACTGTGTGAGGAGACCTTCTATGAGGCCACTGTGGAGCTTCTGAAAGAGACAGAGAGGAGTTTCCGCGGCGACCTGTGTTACCTCTACACCCGTCGCCTGGACAAGACAGTGCGCAGGAAGCTGAACATCGTCAACTTCCTGTTTGAGGAAGACCTCAACGATAATATTGAGGATGAAGCCGAGACACTAAGACCGTTCTGTGCTGTGAATCATGCCATAGACAACTACATGCACTTAAACCCACCCCATATTACCCTGGGCTCAGAGGATCTTGAACTTGATGGTTTGAACCCTCAAGGTCCACAAGACACGGCGTGTGAAACCACCACTACCCAGGAGCTTGGACTTCTGGGAAGCCATCTGGAGTCCTCTCCATCGGACCAGACCTTTGAGACACAGGAGAGCTCAGAAGGGACCAAAAGCTTCAGTAGCGACAAGAGTGGAACAGATCACGCAGAGAAACAGGAGAGCCTGGCGAGTGTTAATACAGAAGGTCCTGATCCGGACTCTGATCTGACACCAGAACCCGACCAAAACACTTACCCTGAGAGGGAGAGTAGTAGTGAGGACATGGAGACCACTGCTGGGGAGGATGACTGTGATTCTGGTCAGGACCAGACCCCCGTATCTTTGCTGGAGGTCGTGTCTGAGCTAGAGGCAAGAGACGGAGATGAGCGCGAGGCGGGAACTCGCTCAGACCTGCTGGTTCCCATGGACTCGGCCTGCTGTATGGCTCAGGACGGTTTCCTTTACCAGGCAACTGACTCTGATGCTGTGCTTTGCCTGAGTCCAAACTCCAACCCGAATCCCACTCAGTTTCTGGTGGTGAACCAGGAGCCCCATGCCCTCCAGCCGATCCAGGATGAGTACACAGTGGGGTCCTCCGGCTCACAGGGTCCAGCAGCAGGGCTGGAGCTTCCTGTTGGTCCCCTCGGCGATGCTGTTTCACGCACCTCCTTGGATGATGGTTCAGACTGTACAATGAGTGCTTCCACCGGCTCTGACCGAGCCGCCTCGCCGCTCGGCTACGGAGCGTCGGTGACCCTCCGCCAGAGGAAAAAAGCTGGTCAAGGGGCTTTAAGGTTTGTGCGGCAGTACTCATTTGCCACGCAAGCATTGTGGTGTCTGCTGAGCGGCAGGACGCTTGTGGTGCTCGGGGCGGACGAGGGGAGGGTCCGCCGCCTCGTGTCTGCTCTAGCTCTCTTCGTACCCAACCCTGGGAAGACCGGAGAGAGGGTTCAACCCTGGCTGTCCTGCCCCTTCACCCTCACCGACCTTCACAGGTGGAAACTTATCGGGCTGCAAAGGTAAACCTCTCATCTTAGACTGTAAAGCAGACGTACAGCGCTTTGTAAAATGTTTACAAACCTAGAAACTTAACATATTTCAACTTGAAACTCATTTATTTTTAGCATTATTAACAAAACATCTGCATTAAAGCCCTTTCACTCTGATACCCTTTAAACAACCCAGTGCATTGTGTTTTAGAGCAAAATTGCATTATAAAGGTGATGGAAACCAACAGAAAGGTCTGGGAGGAAGTTATTAAGAAGCAGGTTTAAGTTGTAAAACAATATCCCAAGCTTTGATAGTGCAGTGCTTCCAGAAAGTGTTTGCAACGCTACACGTTACCGCCTTATTCCAAATGTTCAATTAATTTCCTCCTTATTTCTACACACAATACTGCATTAAAACAATATATAAATTTTTTTTTTCACCTGCAGAGAATGAATTGAAAATCTTAACTTACAAATCTCCCTGACCTACATTCACAGCCCCAAATTTTAATAGATCTGATACCCTTTAGAATAAGGCTGTAACCTCTCTAAATAAGCACAAAGTGGCAAATACCTTCCAGATACACCGTGGAACAGAGAACTGTTCAATCCAAATACCGGTATTTGAAAAGTATGTATCTACAGCATGAACTGGAGGTGGTTACTCTTGGGGAGCTGCAGAGATCCAGATGTCTGATGCCAGAATCTAACAGCAGGAAAACTAGTAGAACTAGTAGCTCAGCACTGGTAAATCTGGTTTGATCAGGCCTTGTGCATAGAGAATTTTTGTCATTCCATTAAAAAAAGTCATGTTAATACTCTAAAATACCTTGCAAAAGCAAGTAATGTAAGCAACTTTAAAGCAACTTTATTTATTTATGCCTTGGGATTACTCCTTCAGGAAAATTCTGGTTCCTGTATCTTTATATAGAGTACAAAAGCAAGACGCTATTAAAGATACAAGAATACAACAGACAAAATATAAAGAGTGTATATAGTACAAAAAAACATAACAAAAAGTTGTAATGTCCTGGAATACCGGTATGTTTTCTTTTTATATAAAATTAACTGCAAAGTAAGGAAAGTGTTACTGCACAGTGAGAGAGAAGAATGTTGCACATGAGTGACAATATGTAATGTTTTGCATAAGATGTCCAAGGGGGTGTGGGGGGGTAGGGACCCTTGACCCTCTTCCCATCACCTCCTTCTTCTCAAAGTGAGGAGTTGTACAGCTGGATGTCATGAGGAACAAAGGAGTTCAGCAATCTGTTGGTCCTGCATTTTGGGAGGAGCAATCTCCCACTGATCCACAGTATGTTGTTTAATTTCTGAAATTAAATAACTGCCTTAACATTTTTAATTTTTGTAGCTACTCATTTGAATGCATGTTTGGCTCAAGCCATAGAGGGGCAAACATAGAAGAATACTTTGATATACAAAATGCTACTTGTGGTGCAAAACTAATGCTGTACATCACCTGAACACACTATTCTCACCATCAAATACCACATTTGTAAACAAAAGACCTCTGTAATTTAACAGCGTGGAAGAGGAGTCTTCAAACCTGTATTCAGAACTGTCTGTCTTGCTGGTTTTAGGTATTTCCCTGCTTCCATGTACCTGATTTAAATACATGGGTAAAAAAAGATAGAGGTAATGCAGTGATTCCATTAAGGTGTACTGGAGCAGAGAAGCATGAAAAACAGAATAAAGTAAATGCATATGTTTAGAACGGCCTAGTCTAAGTCCAATTTGAGTCTTTCCGACTGAGCCTGAGCTGTTTTACACTTTTATGCAAAACTTAGTTTTGACCCATTTAATGCATAAAAATATGTTGCTGTTTTCGGTCGTGTGTTAATGTCCGAAAGGTATCATAGGTACTTCTGGAAGGAAGCTGCAGAAAAACAAACGTCAAACTTGACTCAAAGATTTTGGAGTTCTTTGCAAAGTTCCTGCAAACTTGTTAAACAGAAAGCTGACGATCTCATGGCGTTTGTAGCTCCAGTCACACCTCGCTCCACAGTTACTCATCTGCTCTGACTCAGTGAGCATGACTCACTCTGACAACCCTGCAGCTTCTCATGCACATCGGTGCATGAGCTTTTCTTTTCTGCTCAGCTTCTGTAAACAGAACCTTGACTTGTCAACAGGTTAAAACAGGAGAAGGTTATCCACTATAGATTTGAACATCTTTGCATCGCTATTGCTTGAATTTCCATTTAGCAAAAATCGTGATAAGGATAAAAGTGATGATGGAAAAATTCTCATTGCTTCTTCAGTCTTTCTCAGGTAACTGTATGGCTGCATACCAAAGCAATCATAGCTGCACTCATACTGCCGCTGAAACTATACAGATTAAAAATGGCCTTCTTCAGGATACCAGTTACATAAAGGAGTCTGATTTCTGTCACTGAACATCCAACAGCGACCACATTTAATTATATTTTTCAATTCTGTCAATCCCACAATGGAAAACAAAAAATACAAAGAAGTATTTAAACAATTCATACATTTATTAGGGGTTAAAAAAAATTAATTCTAATTTATCATATAGAGGTTAAATCAAAATTCCTATTACACAGGGAAACATGTTTTACCATAACGATAAATGCTACGATAAATGCCCACCCCTACTAAGAAATCTAATCAGCAGTGCTTCTAATAATTTTTATTTATTTATTTTTTTTTGTCACCTTTTTTACAAATATTTTGTTGTTTTAATTAGCTTTAAATGACCTAATAACATTAAAGATACAAATGTCTGGTAAATTGAAAATGTGCTTCTCCCATCCTTTACATTAAACATCTGCATGCTAATATAATTCCTTATAAATATATTTCCCATGTGATCTAACATGCAAACTATTTATGCAGCTGAGAGGAGAATCTGAAGAAATATATTGTCGACAACAAACTCTGAATTACTGGAAATGAATAGCCTGTTCAGGAGATGTTTTTATGAGAATTTAAAGTAAACTTTAATATTATTGTGGGCCTTGATGTCATTATATTTTGGGCTTTAGTGTTTTTTATATAAAGAATCAAAAGTTAGACATTTAAATGTATCCATAGAGGGGAAATATAAACCTTATTATTGGGTAAAAGCTGCACTAAGCTAAATATTAGCCTCAGCTATAAAACCAGTTTTAATGGTTTTAACCTTATTCCATTTCAAATCCTTTTTGCAGTCACATCACCGTTTACCTTTTCCATGACCCTTCTGGTCCTGAGCACACTGGAGACCAGTTAAACCAATAACAGTTGCTCCTTCAGATGAGACCAGCTCCCTCATTGGTCATTTTGTGATCCAGGTGTGGGAGTCTAATCAATGAGAGAGCTGGTTACATCTGAGGAGCAACTGTGATTGGTTTAACTGCTATGCAGTGTTCTCAGGGAGCATAAGGGTAAAAAAAAAGAAGAGAAAAGTAAAAAGAGACTCTAACTGCAAAAAATGATTTCCAATAAAAGGTGAAAAATAAAATAGAAACCGAATAGGATTTACTTCTTTAAATGTGGATTAGGAAAGGTATTCATAATCCGATTCATGAATTGTAGTGTTTTCGGTTTAGAGATGGGATTTGAAAATATATTTTTAAATTATAGTATTTAATAATGGATTAATAAATACAATTTACCATTCCTCTTTAATAATTTGTTTTAGTTTACCTCAGGTTTCTTACTGTTAAAACAGAGTTTTTCCTCTCCACTATCGGTACAGGCATCCTTTGTGTGAGGGATTGCCTTCAAGTCAATGTGTGGATGCAATCCACTGGTTTTCCTTAGTTGAAAATTTTGAATCAGAATCTGACTGGATGATCTGATGAATTGCAATTTATTGTGAATTGGCGCCATATAAATAAACTGAATTGAATTGAATTTAAAATGTGCATTTGAAAAGTAAAGGGATTTCTAATTGTATGATTAGAAATCCATTTTCAGAGATTATCTTGATCTCCATAGAGAGCAACCCAGGTAAAGATCAGAGGATTCAAAGTCTGCTCAGAAATGTAACCATTACAACAGTTTTGCTGTCACTATTAATAAATAAAATGAATAACTCCTATCATGGCGATGTTTATGGCTAGAAAAGGGATCTGAAAAAGGAAATTGGAAAATAATATTTAGTCCAGATTTATTTCAGGGTAATAACTTCTTCCTGAATAGAATAATCATCAACATCTCTTCCAGATGTTACTGTCTTCTTCTTCTTCTTCTCCCACAGGGTTGCATCTCCAGCCGGCTCCAGCACCTTCTACTCCCTGTCCCGATACAGCCGCTACATCTCCATCCTGGACGCCGACATGAAGACCCTGCGCTGCCCTCAGTACCGCGGCCAGCTCCTCGCCACCATGGCCGACCACCGCACCTACATCCGCCACGGCTCCACCTTCTTCCTCCACCTGCAGAGCACGCTCTGTCGCCTGGCAGCCCAGGCTTTCCTGCTCACCTTCACCCACCACCTCCACCTGCCCGTCAGCCCCACGGAGGGACCCGAGGCCGTGGAGTTCAGACGGCGGTGCTTCCTGCAGGAGCAGCTGGGGCTGGACGAGGAGGACAGCCACGTCCTGCTCTACCTCAGCCGGCTCATCACTCAGCGCTACCTGCAGCCCGCTAACAGCAGCTGTTGTGCAGCTGTACCTTATTTCAGTTTCAACTACATCACCAGCATTTTATACAAAATCTGATGCTTGGGGTTCATTGGGACCATAAGATATTCTCCGTCTGCCTCACTGTGCTTCTCTCTAATCTCACACCTTCCTCTCTTTGCAGGGAAAAACAAAAAAAACAAAAACAGCCAATAAGTGCTGACTGTCTCCGCGGTGTCCTCTTCTGGACACCTTCATATCCAAGCACCACCACCATGTAAATGAGGCAGAAACGAAACACTCGCCTGCTGTAGCATACCGGGCGTCTGGTCCGGGGTTCAGCTTTTATATCCTTGCAAAAAACCTGTTTTTCAGCACCGCAAGGTTTTCTGTTCTCTGTTTTGGGACATAAGCACGTCGCAGCTTTTCAAAGCAGCGGTTCTCTTTGGAAACTAATTCCATCTGTCAGTTTTTTTTTTTTCTCATCTTGTTGACAATTTTAGCTTTTGCGACCCATGTCCGTGTATTAAAAGGACAAGTGTCCTTTCTGTTCCAGACAGTAACATAATTTGGGGATTGTTAGTAAGGACATTTAACTTGTTTAAACCATTTTTTAAAAATTATGTTTAGCCTCAGTTTGGATGAGAACCGGATCCTGAGAAGAATGATGTTGTCTATTAAACAGTTGGAACCAGAGATGCATTTTTTTTTTTTTTTTTTGGTATATTTAACAGTCAGGAAGAGTTTTAAATCTATTTAATCTAAAAATGTTTAATGAATTTCACTGTTGTCTTAAAGTTGTGTGAGAGTGACATGTTTGTCTGCATGAGAGTCTTGTGTCAGGGTGATCACCGTGTTGATAACGCTTCAGGTTTGTTACAATAAGATTTTAAGAATACACTTTTATTTCTCGTGCCAACAGAAGCCTAAGTTTCACTTCGGATGCCTGCCTAACCTTTATTTATTAAACACAGATGCACAGATTGAGCTTTTAATGCTTGCTACTTATTTTTCCTTTTCCCTGAGCTCGGTAACGCTGTTTTTTTTTCTTGTTTTTTTTTTTTTTTTATATTTTCTTGTCTGACAGATATAACTCTTTAAAGAAAACAAGGAAATAACTAAATCTCTTCCCATAAATTCAATTAGAATATCTTAATTATATTTTTTATGTTTTATATATGTCAAAGGGTAAAACTGATGCATTTCAAGCTTTTGTTTGTTAATTTTGATGATTTTTGGCTTTAAGCTTACAGAAAATTGAACTCTAAAAAATAAGCAAAACAAATATTTTTTTAATACAAATACCCGCCCTGCTGTACACAATTGTCGTGTACTGTACACCTTATAGACTCAATACCTGTTTGCAGCTTATTTTGCATAAATATGTGCATTAATGCAGCGTTGACCGACGGCTGCACCTACTGTGGATTTGATAAGAATCTGGACCATAGAAGCAAATTGCCTTCCAACATCATTAGTCTATGGAGCTTGTGTTCTGATTTCTTTTGGAATTTGATTTAAAGAAAAAAATCAAACATCATTCATGGAAACTAACTTCACGATCCCATTAAAGGTATAGTGGAGGATGTTCTTTTCCTGGGTAGATCATCAAAATAAGGGATCCTCCTAATTGTCAATCATTCTGGTGATATGTGTACGTAAAGCCATCCTATGTGCTCGTCCCCATTTTCATTTACTGCCATGAGTCTGACACGGTGGAAAATTGCAAATCTTCTTTTGGAAAGTAAGCTTGTATGAGCGATGCAAACAGCAACTTTTAAATAGAGCGTGCACAAGGAGAAATGGGCTTGTCCACGCTCTCGCATGCATTTAATAGGCACTCCCTCTCGGGATAGAGTACAGGGTTGTGCATGTGCATTTTTTTTTATTGGAAAGATATGGTGTTTTCATAAATTCATAAGAATCCTCCTCTATACCTTTAAGCTAAAGGTTTGCTCTGTTGCTTTTGTGCATATTTTAAACCAGAGTTTTATCTTCCACTCTACTTTCCATTATTATTCAAAGGGAGAGCACTCTGACAGTTTTTTTTCATGGTCAATAGCTGTCAGTCAATCCTCTCACAAGCTTTAAAATTAACATAAAAAATCTGAAATGTTTTGCTCTCTATGGGAAAGATTAAATAAATTAACTACATTCCTGTTTATTGATTTACTTCTGCATGATGCCTATTTTTTTAAGTTACACTTTAAACATTCACTGAAGTTTTCAGTATTTCTTCAACAGATTTATTCTTTCTTTTAATATATTATATCTGCTGATCACTATTCGGAGTGAAAAAGGGGAACATCTCTGTTCGACCGTAGCAGCAAACCTGCTCTCCTTTCAGAGCTCCTGATTTAAGCCTGTGCTCATTTTGTCCAGTCTGTGATTGTGTAGATGGTATCGTCATGGCTGCATGGTCAGAGTTTGATCTCAAAGGTCAGACGCCAAGCGAGCCTTTTAACTCTGTGGATGATGTTTTGCCGCATGTGATGAAGTTTTGCACCTGATTTAATTTGCTTATAGTTGATGTAAAAAGGAAACCCTGAATGTAATCTGAAAAGCCATGCCGCTGTGTGCTCAACTCACCCAGTGTCCTTATGTTGCCATTTATATATGTCTGCTTTTTGTATCTCATCTACAGCAGGCGGCTGAGCTCATTCGGCCCTGCAGGAATTAGAATAAAGCACGTTTTGAATGTCCTGTTTGCCTCCATGTTGTGTGTTTTGTTTTTTTTTTCGCCTTGATTTTGTGTTCAGATGAAGCAGCAGCTATACTTCCAGCAAACCTCCAGCCTCGTCTCTGTGTGACTCACTTCAGAGATGACGGATGTGCGAGCATCTGAGGTGCCATGAATAATAAATGCACATCTGTGAAACACTTCTAATTGCCCTGCTGGAGCAGCGGATGAAGAAGCGTCTGATGGGAGAAGTCTGCTATGACATGATCCGTCCACAGATCGCTGAAGCGAGTGTGAATTTGCCTTTTGGTGGGGGGAAATTAAACTTTTGATAGTCTGGTGTTTGGGAAATGAGGAGCAGGAGCAGTCGGTGTTCGTTCTGGAGCAGCAACTTTTGAATCCACTGATGCGCTTCATCTTTTTAACTTCCATGCAGGGGTCATTTTTTTGTAAATATGGGGAGTGGTGGCCTAGTGGTTAGGGTAGGGCATAGAGCTTGGGATCCTGAGGTTCTGAGTTTGAGCCCCACTTCCATAGACTGCCGCTCTGGGTCTCTGAGCAAGACCCTTAACCCCACACTGCTCCCCGGGCGCCCTGATGGCAGCCCACTGCTTCACAGGGTGATGGGTAAATACTTGTGACAGTGTAATGAGCATAAGTTGGAAAAAAAACAAAACATCCCGACGTTTGCAAAAAGCAAGAGAACTTATAGTGGGATGTGATTTAGAAAGGAAACATTTGCTTCCCTTTTAGTCCTTTGAATTTGAAATTTACTGACATCTGGATCAGCTATCGGCTCCAATATTGAATAATTCAGTTGATCGGTTATCTGTGTTTAGATATCAGAGATCCAATCCAGAGCACTTTACATGGACCTGTTATTTCTTTGTGTTGCTTATTTGTTAATAAATATTATAAGGTACATTTACCTGCATTCATTTATTAACTCTTTTAACAATGTTTATGTCAAGGCTAAAGCCTTCACACACATGGAGAGATATGTGGATCATCCGTTCAATAGTTAAATCGATATCAGATATAAACTGAGATGAGCCCAGGTATTGGATTGGATAGAAAAATCTTTATCAGAATGGTCTTCTGGTTCTCAGCAGTTCAAGCTTATCCAAATTAGTCTGCTTTTTCTTTTTTCTTTTTTTTTTTCTTTTTTCTTTGTCAATAAAGCTAATTATTACACTCAGTTTTGTAGGATACTATTCACACCACTTGCATTTTATAAACATCTGTCCAAAATATTTTAGCTTTTTTGCTTAGATTGAAAACACCACTGTAATACAGTTTGAAAAATATGTATTAATCTTTGTTGATTATTTGATATTTATTTATTACAACCTGTTCTATAGAGTAAAATCAATCAAATTGTTTTTTTTTTTGGTTTGTTTATAAAGGTTTAATACTTGGAAAGTCTGGATTTTTTTTAAACTAATCTTTGGGCTTCCATAGCTGAGTGGCATCAGGTCATCACTTTTCATTCCTAAATGTTTACTTATAAGTGATTAACTAGCTCTATGTGTGAAACTAGCTGCAAACATTTTGTTTGTTGTGTTTTTATTGTTTGTTATGAAACATGATTTTTTTCACAGCTGGAATTTTGTTGCCCTTTAAATTAAGGCCACCTCCCAAGAGGGGATGATGTAAAACAAAGCTAGTTTATGAAAGCACTACAGTTTATGTCATTTTTTTCTTTTTAATAGGAAACATAGTTGGGGAAAAATTTTTGGATGTGTTGGGGGGGGGGGGGAATCTATTTGGATGTTTACGAGCCCTAGCAGAGAGGTCCTCAACATGGGGCTCCCAACCCCCTAGTGTGCTGTGGAGATACTGCAAGGAGGTCTTGGAACTTTCTACAATAAATATATTATGTGTAATATTTGCAGATACCAGAAGTTTCCATTAAAACCAGATACATTTGGAGTTTTTTCATTTTCTTGATTTTTTTATATTTGCAGGGGAAAATTAACCTGCTGTGAACTTTCCTGGTTTAATCTCCGCATCAGTAGACCTCAACCAGCTGTTAAAAACTGTCACACTCACCTCAAAACTTACAGACTTAACGGAACGCGGTCCTTGTTCCATCTATTCCTCAGCCTGAAGTTCCAGAATAAAAACCCGTTAATGATTCCTGGCTTAGTGTGAAACTCTGCATACCTAGAGGGTGGCTGACTTCTGTTTTCCATCTTGTTCATCTGCATCACCAAACCCAGCTGCTGTGTTTAAAGGTGGAGTTTGGATATTTAAATGGGGAACAACAGTTAGCAGAACACAATGAGGCAGATGCTTCTTTCTGCTGTTATACAAGACTGCTTTCAGCTCCATCTGGATGCTTCCAAGTTCTCACTCCATTTCAAAACTCAGCAGAAACAGATTTTTTTTTTAAGTCACTGCACAGGACTTGCATTGTAGACATTACCCGAACTGATTTGCTTTCTTTCACTAAATAAGTCATTTGTTTTCTTAAAAAAAATGTGCACTTTTCTTGGACTGTTTCCAATTTACATTTAAAATAGGAAAAAAACAATTGGATAGTCCTATTTCATGTGCATATCATCTAGTTATCTAATTTAAGAGTAAAAAATCTAATTCCATTGGCAAATCATCTTATTCACTTACTCAAATTAGGTTTAAACACACTTAACTTGAGACATTTGTACTTATTTCTAGATTGTTTTTGCAGTGTGTAGCTTGGAAACCTGGAAAGTACTGTTGAGTTTCCTTTCTGACATCTCATTGTTGCATGGTGGCGCAGTGGGTAGCACTGCCTAGGCTCTTTCAGCAATTCTCTCCATGCACATCTCCAGCTTCCTCTTAAATATTCAAAAACCTCTTTAAATTACCATTAAATCTCAGTATTTACATGCATGGTTGTGTTGTTCTGTACTTGAGTGGTGACCTGTCCACAGGCTGTAGCCCATGCTCTCGCCCTGAAACGATAAGCAGGTATAAACGGTGAATGGATGGACATCCTACAAACCCTGTTTATGAACACAGCTTAACTTAAGCTGTGAGTAGCTCCTGCTGTGAATTATGGGTCATGTAGTGCGACATTGGTGGTCCATCAATAATGCATACATGAACTTACCTCGTGGTCCAGATGTAGCCTGCAAGTAGAGTCGTCTGAGATAAATCAACACAAAGTATGGCATAACTGTGATGCGGAATTTTTTTTACATAAAAAAAAAAAAACAGATTTAGAGGTGTGATGTTCATTCATATTAAGGTCCCCCTGGATTAACAGTTTTTCAGGCATGAACTGAACTATTCATGGACGGGAGATTCTGGGTTTTACACATAATAAGACACCTTAAAAAAAGCAGATAATACTGCTGGAGATGTCTGAGAGGTGAAACGCTGATAAACCGGCTGCTCTTCAGCACAAGTAAAGCTACTTTCAGATTATGAAAGGTTAAAAGAGACTAAATGAAATAAATAAATGTACTTTTAGATGCATATGTGAATGGATCACTAGATTTGTGATTAAATATTTAAATTGACAGGTTGTTTTGGCGGGTTTTGTTACACAGCCAATCAGAAGTAAGGTTATGTTAAGAAATTAAATCATTTCTTTTTTTTTCTTCTTTTCTCGCCTTCATATAAGAGCAGCTCCTTACTTAATGGACTGAAAGTGTGGTTGTTCTAACTTAAAATTTAGCACAAATAGGTCGATCTTCCTTTTTCTGAATTTTCACATGATGCTTATAATGCTCTGAATTAAATCAGTGATAGAGATTTTACAATGCTGTAAAAATACTGCAGAAGTTAGATTTTTCCTGCTATTTTATCCAGTTTAGGAAAACTACTTTTCCTCTTTGATTCTTATCCATTTCTTTACATCATATTTTTTTATTTTGAAGTTATATAGATTCTTGTTCTTATAGTAAACTTTTAAATCTATTGATTTTAACCTATACAAAAAAAGCTTAAAACCATTACATTATACAATCACTGGCCACTTTATAAGGTACACCTGTCCAACTGCTCGTTAACACTTAATTTCTAAGCAGCCAATCACATGGCGGCAACTCAGTGCATTTAGGCATGTAGACATGGTCAAGACAATCTCCTGCAGTTCAAACCGAGCATCAGTATGGGGAAGAAAGGTGATTTGAGTGACTTTGAACGTGGCATGATTGTTGGTGCCAGAAGGGCAGGTCTGAGTATTTCAGAAACTGCTGATCTACTGGGATTTTCACGCACAACCATCTCTAGGGTTTACAGAGAATGGTCCGAAAAAAAAAAACATCCAGTGAGCGGCAGTTCTGTGGGCGGAAATGCCTTGTTGATGCCAGAGGTCAGAGGAGAATGGCCAGACTGGTTCGAGCAGATAGAAGGACAACAGTGACTCAAATAACCATCCGTTACAACCAAGGTGGGCAGAAGAGCATCTCTGAACGCACAGTACGTTGAACTTTGAGGCAGATGGGCTACAGCAGCAGAAGACCACACCGGGTGCCACTCCTTTCAGCTAAGAACAGGAAACTGAGGCTACAATTTGCACAAGCTCATCGAAATTGGACAATAGAAGATTGGAAAAACGTTGCCTGGTCTGATGAGTCTCGATTTCTGCTGCGACATTCGGATGGTAGGGTCAGAATTTGGCGTCTACAACATGAAAGCATGAATCCATCCTGCCTTGTATCAACGGTTCAGGCTGGTGGTGGTGGCGTCATGGTGTGGGGAATATTTTCTTGGCACTCTTTGGGCCCCTTGGTACCAATTGAGACTCGTTGCAACGCCACAGCCTACCTGAGTATTGTTGCTGACCATGTCCATCCCTTTATGACCACAATGTACCCAACTTCTGATGGCTACTTTCAGCAGGATAATGTTGTAAGCTGTACACAACAAAATTTCATTTTGTATACACTCTGCGCATCCAAAATGACAAAGTTTGTCTAACAGTAAACAACTCTCTCTTAACATATGATTCATGAGGATTAAAAATCTTTTGTTGAAGAGTTCTTTTTAAGCATTTAACTTCAGATTTTTCACCTGTAACAGCTAAAAGAGATTACGCTAAACTTGCAATCGTTTTAAAATGCCAAACGACACGCAGGAAATGACCGAAATGTTTATTTAAAAGTCATACTGTAATAATTGAGAGTATTTAAGATGTACATCAAAACTCTGATAAAAATAACAACCAACACATTCCAGCCAGCAACGTGAGAAAAACTATGCATTACAACTGCCCCTCATTTTGAACACAATTTTATGGAATGACGGGTCTGACTCAGAGACCAAAATTGTTAACATAAAAACCACACAGAAAAAAAAAAAAAATGATGTGGGGGAAAAACAAAAGGTGGCCCCAGTCACAGTGTCCTCTTCACTCTTTTTCTGTGTTGAAACACAGAAGAACAAAAAACATTGATCCCGTCACATCAGGGCAGTAGACAGTGATGGTAAAACCAAAAGCTTTAGGCTTTTTTAATGATCAGCCAGAGCATCCTCTGCATCCACAGTGAGTGCACTCAATGATTCTTCCCTGCAAAAGATGAGAAAGTTTCACAATAAAACCAAACTATCTGTAAGAAACACATTGATATAAAGCTGGTTTAACCAGTGAGGTTTGATAAAACTTTGTCAGACGTACAACTTCCAGCTTGCTCTTAGGGACTCTGCAGATGCAGTTAGTTCCAAAGTTGGTGTCCCGTGTTTGGATGCAGCGCAGGCAGCAAAGGTTCTCATAGCCCTGCTTCTTCCACTTGGCAATCAGGTTCTTGTCAGCATACCCTTCCTTTATACAGTAGTCATACAGCTCTGCCACAAAACAAATGAGTGAAACATCTAGTCAGTGGGATATAAACTGACCTCCTGATGGATAAATTCTGTAGTTATGGTTATTCTATATTACACAGAAACCAATAAAAATGAGAGTTAATTTCTAAAAGGTTAGCTTCCGTTGGGTTCCTGCACAGTTTTAGGTCCGAATTTCAGCATTTTACATACATTAATTTTAGATTATAGCTACTAGATTTAATTGCCAATAATTCTGCAATTCTGTCTTTGAATATGATGGATAAACAACTGAGTAAATTAAATAGTAGATAAAGGGTAGATGCATAAAAGGGGAGACGGACAGATGTATGAATGGAATTCATGAATGGAATAATTGATAAAAGTGAGAAGAAATGGCATCAAGAAATTTAAACACCTTGTCAAACTTATCCAGTTTCCTTATCATTATAACAAAATTCATACACATAACCTGCAAGGAACTCAACTTTACATGACTCAATTAAAGCTGCTACAATAACCAAAAAAATAGGAAAGAAGTTATAAGATTATTTGGATGTTAGGTCCTGTGTACCTCTGCTGATGGCTTTTCTTTTGTAGAAGAGGTCGTAGATGTAACGACTGCGCTGATGGTGAAGCCTGAAGATTGGCCAAAGGGCCTCCACCTTTCGCTTCCCCTCATGAGGGTCTGTTTCAGCTGGGACACAGAGGGAAGAAACAGATAAAGAAAGTTAATAAAGATGTTTCACTCAATCATCCAGAGATTCTGTGTATCAATCCAAAGTAAAGCAAATCAAGCAAGTAATAAACAACAAAAAAAACATTGGAGCCTGTTTATCAAGGTGTTATTAATTCTTTCTGATGAATTGTTCACAACACAATAAAATTTTACTGAGTAACAATGTTAGCTATTTTTGAAGCCTGTGTCTTGGATAGTAGGTTAGTCTTTATTAAATAGCATATGCATTTCAAAACAGTAAAAAAAAAAAAAAGCAAATATATATATCTGCATTGAATTTGACTGGATTAAAACAAAAATCTGCCTATAGCTTCGACGTCAGAGTCCTAAGTTAGTATTTCTTATCAAAGACACAGCAAGACTATTCTGTTCTAATGTGAAATACAAAAAAACATGCAACAATGTTTGGAAAAATAACATAATTAAAGATGTTAAATAATATTTTATCTCAATTGGTTCCCGTATCTTTTATTCTCTTGCTATTTAACGTGTAAGACAACCGGATAAAACCAAGCTACCCTCTCTCATTTTCTGGTCCAGCTCATCCAAAGTGGGTTCAATCAGCTCCCATCCATCTGGAGGTGGCTTTCTGCTTCTCTTTACTTTGGGCATTTCGGCTGAATTCAACAAAATCTAAAGAAAAATAGAAGCTTCTAGTAGCACCGATCTCAAGTCTCGAGGCCCGAGACCGTTTCTGACGCGAAAATTTTACGTGTCGTCGTTGATTGATGACGACATAATTAGGTAAAAAAAATTCACACCGCTTGTGTTTTTTATGCTATCTTTAATTAATCAAACTTTCTGAGTTGATTTAATTCTGTATTTTGTAAATGAAAGTGTATGAAGCATAACATAAACTTCAGGATTTATTTCTCCCTGTCCTATTGCATCACTTTAGAACTTCTTAAAATTGCCGTAATGTAAACATAAGTTCCATCCTATCTATTTTTACAAAAAAAAGAACTAGTTGATCTGTCTAGTCCAAAATATTATACGAGTCCTAATTTTATTTTAATACAATACGAATTTTCATTTTTTTAATTCTTACATATTTCTTGAACAATACATTTTTGACAGGCAGATGGTTGGACACCTAAAAGTAGCTTCAGCTCTTCGCCTCTGAGTTTAGCCAGCTGTCAGTTTATGCTGTTGCCTTAACATTAATGTTTTCTACCCGTGTTTTCCTTAAAGACAACTTGTAACAAAAGATTCGTTTGACAAAATGCCAAAAGGAGGTAAGGATATTGGCTACATGTCTTGTAAAACTCTTTTAAAAAATAATAATATTATGTTTCCCGAAAGGAGAAAACCGATCTCGGCGACGCGCTTCTTCACTACACCCACTGGTGTCCTGTAGAATTCTTATTTTAATTTGGTTAAAAATAAAGAGACGGCTATAAATAGATATAACATGCTTCCCCATGTCACATAGTAGTTGTTTGTTCAATGTCCAGCTCTTCAGGTGTATATGTTGTATTCAGGTGTGTGTGAGTGATGTAATGTTTCATTTTGTTTCAGGGAAAAAAGGTGGCCACAAAGGTCGCATGCGCACCTACACTAGTCCGGAGGAGATTGATGCTCAGATGAAAGCAGAGAAGGAGAGAAAAAAGGTTGGTACAGCTAAAAATGACATCCTGACACCATGAATCATGTATTTTGCATTATAAAATAAACTCTTTCTTGAGACAAGCAAGTCTTATTGGGTATTATTGTGTTGCAATGAACGTAGATTTATAACACAGTAACCACACTGGAAAAAATCAAAATCTAAATAAAGCATCTTTTATTAAAATAAGTGCATTTGTTCTTGAATTGAGAAGGTAAAAGAGACATTTTGCCAATGGAAAAAGACATTTTACATTTAAAATAAGAAAACACAATCGCATTGTCTTATTTCAAGTGCATTTTATTTAATTATCCTATTTTAAGAGTAAAAATACTCATTACATTTGCAAATCATCTCATTTACCTACTCAAATTAAGGGTAAATACACTTAATTTAAGAATTTTTTACCTATTTCTAGATTATTTTTTTTGCAATACAAACTAATTTTCATCATTAAAAGATGAAAGTATTATAATGTAATGCATTTAAGCATAAAAATTACTGAATGTTCATCATGTTATAATTTTCGAATATGACATGTTTAAATTTGTAAGATAAATTAAAACATCTTATACATTTTTGGAATTCTAAAGGAAAAATAAGTGTTTTCCTATTAGCCTTTCCATTTAACATTTCCATATTTATTTAGATCTCATGTTTTATATTGTATTCTTGCAGATATTAACATTATCTATAGAATTGGAGGTGATATACGGTTTGCTGCATAGAGTCTACAGCTTTTATAATCAATTATAGAGTCAAATTGGCTACTTTAAAAAATGTTGAACGCAAAGAAGATGCACAATGGTCCTTCAATATATACTGAAATAATTTGAATATATATATATATATATATACATATATATATATATTACCATTGTACTCCATTGTTAAAATAGCTATTAAGAGCAATCTTTCATCAAACAAAAGAACATTGTAGCAGTACGTTTCGAACTTTGGTTAGGTAGGGAAAAAATCTTGTAATTGTCTACCAATAGCTACTTATCTCCACATGGCTGTTTTAGACCAAAGGATTTACCTTTGTGCACCAGTTTCATTACTAACAGCATTAAGGAAATAATATCTAGTCATATGGTTTTGCTCTGGGTCCAAAAGCTATTTTAGAGAAGATAATAATGTGATTGTCATCCCAGAAAACAGCTGTTGTATACGGTCTGAGGGTAACATAGCACTTAAAAAAACTGCCTTGGTCTGATCATGATCAGGACCTGTTGTGATGTTTATGTTCTTAACCCTTCTAAAAATCCTGTATCTGCTTATTTTTTTGTGGCTTATTTATGTCACAGCATGAACTAGAAGAGGAAGGTGAAGAAGGCGCATCTCCTAAAGACACAGCAGAAGAGAAGCTACCAGGATCTGACTCAGAGGACAGTGATGATGACGATTCCCTGGTACCTCATTTTCCCCCCTTCCATAATTTCTCTGTTAAAACGTAGACTCTCTGTTTAAAAGTGTCAATTAAAACTACTTTATTTATTAATATTATCTTTTTTATTTATTTATGTTTTTTGCAGTTATAAAAACTAACGTGAGGTGTGTTCCTCAGGGTACCTCCTTTGAACAGTTTTGAATGCACATGTTAATTAGTGTTATGATATTTTTTCACCACACATTGGTGACATAAACCTTTACATTTCTTCAAAAACTGACCTTAACAGTCACGGGCTAAATGTTCCTGGTTTTTGCTTCCAAATATTCACTTATAAATTTGGCCGAAACACACAGTACATTAGAAACCAAGGCGTCTTCATGCACTCAGACTGATGTTTATAAATCTTGAGTTAGGGAATGAAAACATAAAGGGTTTCCTTTTGTTTCACATAAAGACAGAAGCTTACTTTATCAGCTAAATGTCCAGAAGATCCTATTTATTTTAGATCTGTATTTTACTGTGGATATCTGAATACATACTATATCTAAACTTTGATGAATTTATCTAAGTCTAATTATATTTCTTTCTTTTAATTTGATTCTTTTAGAGAAAGCGAGCAGGAGTGGAGGGATTGATAGAAATTGAGAACCCAAACAGAGTGGCTCAGAAGTCTAAGAAGGTGACACAGATAGAGCTGGACGAACCCCGACAATTATCAAGGAGAGAGAGGTAGGTGGCTGATGGCTAGCTTTTATTTTCCCTTAAACATCACATTTGGAAATGGAAAAAAAAACAGTGTCTCTTTTCAGTTGCTTGATTCAGTTTTGTAAGAAAAAAAATACTTGGAGTAATGTAATGCCAGTCAGAAATAATTAGTTAAATGTTCTCAAAACCAGAGAAGAGATCGAGAAGCAGCAAGCGAAAGAGCGATACATGAAGATGCATCTGGCCGGGAAGACGGATCAGGCCAAGGCAGACCTCGCCCGCCTCGCCATCATCAGGAAGCAAAGAGAGGAAGCAGCAAGAAAGAAAGAAGAAGAGAAAAAAGGTAAGGCGCCAAAGTTAGGAGCGTTCAGCAGAGACTGAACTGCAGGAGGTTAATGTTGACTTTGGTACGGCAGGGGAAGTACGATGACTAAACCTAAACTAGTGTAAGGGACCTTTAACTCCAACAAAATAGTTTGTTTTACCTTTAGAACAGGACCAATGCAGAAGGGACCATTTCTATGAATTTTGTTGTTTTTGGATGATCCGTCATTTTTTTATTACAAATATTATTAAAACCTACACAAAGCAAAAGCATAGAAGTTAAATAAAACAAACTTTATCCTTAACCTCTTCTAAAAGGAGGAGAATTGATGCTTCTTGTAAAGACCTTAGCGGAAGTATGAACTGACCTACAACACCATGTAAAATTAATTATTTGTGTTGAAACAACACTAAACCTTCATCTGTTTTATGTGTTAAAACCAGCACAGTGTTCTGTAATTATGAAGTAAAGCTAAAATAGTTTAAGCCCGGCGTACCCGGTACCACGCCCATCTGACACCTCACATTGATCTATTTATAGAAATAGAAAATTCATCCACACACCTTTCAAAATGGGGCTTTAAAATTTCTAAAACACGCTTCAAAATTATTTTTTCGCAAATACTTTTTGTTTTATAGCTGTATAAACATGTAAAAAGAGATTTAAAATTCCACCTGACCTGTCTGACTCTGCAGGAGTAATGCAACAGCAGGTATTAATTTTTAGCCCCACCCCCTAATGGCCAGCATCATTGGAAACTAGAGGCTCAGATGTTTCTAAGGAGGGATCGGAGGTAATTGTGCGACCATTTCAGGCGATGCAACCGGCATGCGTTACATAAGCTTGCTCTGTTTTTCTTATTTAGTTTGGTGATATTAATGCTCAATTTCAATTAAACAACTTTTCCTTATACAGAAGGTCTCAATAATGTAAATCAGCTAATTTTTCTGGCCAGATTCTCTTTTATATAAGTGTAAAAATACATTTGGCACATTTTGGCCACCTTTGGCACCACTCTACCAAAATCCTGTTTCCGGCTAACACGCTGCCGACTAAAACCTTAGTGGAACAAACAGGCTTCAACTTATTCAGTCCAATTTTGCTTGAGTTATTGTCAAGATGTGGATCTATAAAGTTTTAGGGTTCATCCAGAGTTTCAAATGGGGTTTTATGGTGTTTTTCAGTGTTTATTTTGAAAAAAAAATTGCTAAATACGTTTCATTTTTACTTTGTTTAATCACTTATAAATCAGACATGGTGACATTTACAACAGAGATTCCACATGAAAAATATTCCTCAATGCTTTTCTGTCATAAAAATACAAAAGATTGTATTTCCAATTTATAGTTTGGGAGCTTAACATGCTTTAATTTACATTTGTAATTTCAGGCGGAATTGGCTCCTAAGACCCTTTGGGCTTAAGGGGTTAATCTGGTACCCCTGAATAAATGACCAAGTGCCTTCCAAATTGGTTGATTAGGTGTGTAGTTTACTTTGAGGGCCTCATAAGTTGGTTGAAAAACATTACTGAGGGACAGGAAGCAGAATATTGTTTTAGGATGATGTGTAAACCATTAAAGCAAAGCTGAGTTATAAAGTTTTCACCCTATGCTAACGAACTGGGATGATAAGCACCAGAGATCAGCATCTCAATTCAATTCAATTCAGTTTATTTATATAGCGCCAAATT